TGTTTTATAACTTTGCTAACTATTTGAACTTCACTTGTTTATATGCTAAAGTGATGCTAATATGGACGTAGCTTGGATGTATTTGTAGTTTTGTGTCTTTGTGTAGCTCTTACGTTGTTTTTTTGGAGTTTTCAATTAATTCGAAATCATCAGTCAAGTGTACGATCATCTTTCGGAGGGAAGTGCTACATATTTGGTCTTTATTCTGGCTAAAGAAAGACGCCAGATGGTTTCAGAGAGCAGTGTGACAGCCTTGCCTTCCTCCCATCAGCGCCTGAGAGCAGGATCAATATCCAGATGAAGCTTTCTCTCTGCTGGAGGATCCATAATTCATACTCGCTCAGGTGGTCCTGTATTTACTATCGATCAGACGGAGGTAACCGCAGCAATATCGATAAGCCTGAGGGAGTCGCTTTCACGTCTAGAAGCTGCTTCTGTCACTGATAGAGAGGTGAGGCAGGGAGAGTGCAGGTAACACTGAGGAGCCTTTGAGCAAGGCATTAAACCAAACATCTAGTCAAACATCTCTACAGATTGTTTCAGTTCTTCATCTATGCACAAGGTAATATGTTATATATTTTAGACAAAGGTAACACCAGATCATTTTAACTTGTGTAAAAGAAAGAAAAATCAAAGGAAAAAGTTCTTGAAGTTTCTAAAGAAGCATTTTAACTTTTTCCAAATGTTCCGTTTTTACGACACGGAAATGGACCGAGACGTCAATAGGTGCTTTCACACCGCAGTATTTTTCCCACAAAGGTTCATGAGAACTTAGTTCATGAGAACTCTTTAGTTCTCATGAACTAAGTACAGATCGCGTTCACACCGGAATAAGTCCCTGGGGGTGGATTAGGCAAATGAAGCCGCTGACGTCACTTCTTCTTCTTCTGCTTTGGGTTTACTGGCAGGCCGCAAACCACTTCACGGCGTATACTGCCGCCCAAAGTCCCCGGCCGGAAGTCCCCGGAGTTGGGGACTCGGAAGGCTTCATTAGAAGCTGCTGGGACTCCCAGCAGCTTCTACTGAAGCCTTCCGAGTAAATCGCCAGAACACCGACACCTCCTCATCTCTACCGCTCCCATGTTTTATTTTGTGTTGCCATAAGTTTGTCTCTCTGCGTTTCTGCGCTGGGCTAATGCTAATGCTAATAATGCTAATGCGAGGATAATAAAATGGCGGCTTCACAAAACTTTTTGGGAGTTTTACGGGGCGTGGTTTGGAATCCGCCCAGCCAATCAGAAATATAGCTCTTTTCTCACAAAAGAGCCACTCGAAAGTCCCTGCTCTCTAGCAGGGACTTTCGAGGGGGTAAAAAGGTTCTCATGAACTAATTGTAGTACCGGCTCTTTTTGGTGTGAACACGATAAAAGAGTTCTCATGAACTAAGCTCGCATTAACCTTTGCGCCTATTTTTTTTATCATCAATTCACCTGTCATTTTTTCTTTTGGGTTAGTCAACTTATAAAAAATATGTCAACAAATAGTGGTGTTTCTTTCCCCCAGACTCCAAGGAAACATTATTTTTCATAAATCTGACTTTAATCGAGTAAGTAAAAAGCAAAATCATTTTTGGTCAGATCTAAAAAAAAAAAACGTCATATTACATTACATTACATTACATTTAGCTGACGCTTTTATCCAAAGCGACTTACAATAAGTACATTCGACCAGGAAGACACAACCTTGAAGAAAACAGAATCATATAAGTACATCAGGTTTCATAGAGCCAAAACACTTCAAGTGCTACTCAACTGGCTTTAGATAAGCCAGTCCTTTATTAGTATATAAGTGCTTTGTTAATAGTTCTAACGCTCGAAGTGGAGTCGAAAGAGATGAGTTTTCAGTCTGCGCCGGAAGATGTGCAAGCTATCTGCCGTCCTGATGTCAATGGGGAGCTCATTCCACCATCTTGGAGCCAGGATAGCAAACCCACGTGTTTTCGCCGATGGGAACTTGGGTCCCCCTCGCAGCGAGGGCGCAGCGAGTCGTTTGGCTGATGCAGAGCGTAGTGCACGCGCTGGGGTGTACGGTTTAACCATGTCCTGGATGTACGAAGGGCCAGATCCATTCGCAGCATGGTAAGCAAGTACCAGTGTCTTGAAGTGGATTCTAGCAGTTACCGGAAGCCAGTGAAGGGAGCGGAGGAGCGGAGTGGTGTGGGAAAATTTAGGAAGGTTGAAGACCAGACGAGCCGCTGCATTCTGGATGAGCTGCAGAGGTCGGATGGCACATGCAGGTAGACCAGCCAGGAGGGAGTTGCAGTAGTCTAGGCGTGAGATGACGAGAGCCTGGACCAGAACCTGAGTCGCTTTCTGAGTCAGCTGGGGGACGTATCTTCCTGATGTTGTAAAGCGTGTATCTGCAGCAACGGGTTGTAGCAGCGATGTTTGCAGTGAAGGACAGGTTGTTATCTAGGGTCACACCCAGATTCCTTGCAGTCTGAGTCGGGGAAACAACTGAGGTGCCGATGTTGATTGTTAGGTCAAGAGTGGGACAATCTTTTCCCGGAAGGAAGAGCAGCTCAGTCTTGTCAAGGTTGAGCTTGAGGTGATGAGCAGACATCCACTGAGAGATGTCAGCTAGACAAGCAGAGATGCGTGCGACGACCTGGGTCTCTGAGCGGGGAAAGGACAGAATTAATTGGGTGTCGTCAGCGTAGCAGTGGTATGAAAAACCATGCGGGCTAATGACTGATCCGAGCGAGTTTGTGTACAGGGAGAAGAGGAGGGGACCAAGAACAGAGCCCTGAGGGACCCCTGTAGTTAATTGACAAGGGTCGGACTCAGACCCTCTCCAAGTCACCCTGTAGGTACGGTCTTTCAGGTATGAGGTGAGGAGGGAAAGTGCAGAGCCTGAAACTCCAAGTTTTTGGAGAGTGCGAAGGAGGATCTGATGATTCACCGTGTCGAATGCAGCAGACAGGTCCAACAGGATGATGACAGAGGAGAGGGATGCAGTTTTGGCAGTGTGCAGTTCCTCCGTGACAGCAATGAGAGCAGTTTCTGTGGAGTGACCTGCCTTGAAACCAGACTGGTGCGGATCCAGAAGGTTGTTCTGATTGAGATAACAGGAGAGTTGTTTAAAGACAGCGCGTTCAAGTGATTTAGACAGGAACGGGAGGAGAGAGACAGGCCTGTAGTTTATAACATCAGACGGGTTGAGAGTGGGTTTCTTTAGGAGAGGGTTTTACTCTTGCCTCCTTGAGACTGTTTGGAAAGTGACCAGAAGTTAGAGAAGTGTTGATGAAATGGGTGAGAAACGGTAGAATATCAGGAGCGATAGTCTGAAGGAGGTTTGAAGGGATAGGGTCCAGAGGACAGGTGGTAGGGCGGGGCAGAGGTAATGAGGGTAAGAACCTCACTTGGAGAGAGAGGGGAAAAGGAGGTAAGTGTGTTGGTGGAAGGAGGGTCTGGTGACCCAGCGGTGAGTAAAGGTGAGTCAGAAAAAGAAGAGCGAATATCATCAACCTTTTTTTCAAAGTGGGTAACAAAGTCGCTTGACAGAAGTGAGGAGGGGGGAGGGGCTTTTGGAGGGTCCAAGAGGGTGGAGAAGATGGAAAATAGTTGACAAAATGGCCCTTATCCTCTTCCATAGAGTTTCAATTTACAGTTTAGGAAAAGGTTTTTAAAAGTAGCGTTCAGAAAAATGTTTGGCTTTGGTTCTTGGTCAATGAATTGACTTAATACTTAAACACTTGTCCAAGAAAACATCTCGTCTACATGTAGAAAATAGCATTTCTTTGATACCTTGTTGTACCTGCCAGAAAGAGTCCTACCTCTTTCATCAGACAAGACTTCTTCCTGTTAAATGACATCAAACAATTCAGATTTCTCTCCAAATCCAAATTGCCGTCACACGACACAATACCACGTATACCACTTTGAATAATACTTCAGGTGTCTGTGACAGATGGCCGACGCCAGATGGAAGAACGTCTCTTCCTCTGTCTCAGTGCGTCTTTGAAGTTTTACCAGCTGGCTCTTCTTCTCTATCCGTTTTGATTTCCAAGACGCCTCGAGAATCTTTCGAGAACCCGTCTCCACGTAATCCTCAGAACTGCTTACACACACGCTTTTCACTGTTGACTGGGATAGACGTGGGTGTTTGTGTACATGTGGTGTGCTTCTATACATAAAGCACATATGAAGTAGGTTGTCTTTCTTAATCCAAAGTAACAAAGGAATCAATGCACTTTGTCTTTTGTGCCTGTAGATCATTGTACATCAAATATACACAGTTTTCACAATAACTTGTAACCGGCACACATACATGTAAACATATTTAATATGTATATATCACTCAAATATGTATATTATGTTCATTTAGTTCATTTCCTATTTTAAAAGTTACTTAACTGATATCATTTTAATTATATATTCAATTATATTCATCTTGTGTGAATCTGTGCTGTCCTGTTTTTCATTCTTACCCTGTTGCTGTTTAAACTACTAACTAAAGGTTATTTTTGTTTGTTTTGTACAAAAAAATATTATTTGTTTACAACATGACGATGACCTAATCTTTTATTTTAAAGAAGAATGTACGCTAGAGGAGGACCGGAAACGTTTTTTAAGCTTCTTCTTGCCCCTTTTGAACCTGACAGAGACTATTTGAGAATTTATTTTTTTGTACCTTGAACGTTTTTTTGTTGTTTTTTTGGCATATCTGTTATAATTATTATTATTAATTCTGTATTATTATTATTATTATTATTATTATTATTATTATTATTATTATTATTATTATTATTATTATTATTATTATTATTGTTGTATGTTTTGTTTCTGACATGTTCAATAAATTGAAAAAAATTGACTAATAAACGACTGAATTTCCCCACAGGGATTAATTAAGGTCCATCTTATCTTATCTTATCTTTTGCTTTGGGTGTCTGAATCTGATCGGCAGGTGCTCCTCGTCTAAGAGCAGCATCAAAAGGTTGAAGACTCAGTAATAAAACACGTGTTTACCTCCAATATCTGCATCTGTTTTGTGTTCAGGGGCCACCAAAGATATGGGTAAGATGCTGGGTGGGGAGGAGGAGAAAGATCCGGATGCATCGAAGAAGGAGGAGGAGCGCCAGGAGGCTCTGAGGCAGCAGGAGGACGAGAGGAAGGCCAAGCACAGCCGCATGGAGGCGGAGAGGGAGAAAGTACGGCAGACCATCAGGGACAAGGTAGGAAACACTCCTGTGGTCCAACTAATGCTGCACCTTTATGGATTACTGCACTCCAATGATGGCTGTCGTTTTTCTAGGCCATGAAAACCTTTTGCCGATATTTAAAATGTCTAAACTTCAATAATACCACCAGCCTGAAGTCAAACTAAGTCCAAGAGCTTCCTATTGTTTCCTTTTTATGCACCAATTTCAGTTTTTTGAGATTGACCACATGTTTATTTTGTATTCTGACTTTTTTCTCACAACAAAAAAAAGGTCTTAACTAGAATTCAATTGATTTCAATGATACCAATTTCAAAGTGTTTCTGTTCTGCACAGCCTCATTTAGTCAATACAAGTCACAGGTTCCTCCAACAATGCAACATACACAATACTTATGTATATACTTATAGTGAAAGAGTGACACAATGGTGCAGTTCAAATGGAGCATAAATACAGTTAGGAAATGCAACTAATGCTTCACCCGTATGACCCGGTCGGACTGCAACACATTGCTGCAGAGGAAGTTGGAAGTCTTTTTACTAGTCCTTGAAATTACGCCAAAATATGCTTCGAGATGCACCGCGACCTTTTTCATGTTTCCTTCTTAATTGTGTCCTTGTTATACATCATATAACAATATATGGAAGAAAAATGAGTTCCTGAACAACAGTTTTTAACTTTGCACAAGCGGTATGTTCTCTGAGCACAACTACTTTTTATTGCAACAAAATTAAATTATGAAGATTCTGGCTGCGTTGTAAATGCTGATAGAATTACTTGTTCTACTTTTTTTACTGAAGCTGCATACATTAAGAATTGTCTACATCTACAGTATTATTATTTAAAGGAAAGATCTCACAGAAACCTAGATTGTTCATGGTGAAAAGCCTTTAGAACAGTGTTCAGGTTGTATATGACACTGCAACTTGAATGAATTTGTTAATTATTTTCAAAAGAAGGTCTAACTCTGTAACTCTTGATAGCAAATTCATTAGAACGGCGGCTAAGCTAACTCCTGCTATCTCTTTACAAGTGTCTTCCTCTCATTCACCTGTGAGCCATTAGGAAATCACCCTTGAAACCCCAATACATTACATTTAAATGTCTCTCTTAAAACACTACGACTTGAATTAAGTTTATATTCCTAAAAAAAAAGGGGGGTTCGTTTAGAAACACTTGAAATAACTAAAGGATAAGTTAAAAAAGAAAGTAGAAAGAAAGTGAGGTCAAAGAAAACCATTTCTGCTAAAAGTGAGCAACATTTCAGATGTGTGTATCTCACTGCTCTGTAACTTTAATACCTTTGTTAATCATGTTTTATTATCTCTGCTTTTAAACGAGTGTTTTGAAATGCTATTTCATAATATGTTTCTTAATGTCTTTCATTGTTGTAACGCACTTTGAATTGCCTTGTGTTGAAAGGTGCTGTATAAATAAACATGCCTTGCCTAAAGAACCAACTCTGTTACTCTTGATAGAAAATTCATTATAATGGCGGCTAAGCTAACTGCTATGCTATCTCTTTACACGTGTCTTCCTCTCATTCACCTTGCTATGCCTTCCCTGCGTGTCGCCCTCTCTCTTCAGTACGGGCTGAAGAAGAAGGAGGAGAAGGAGGCAGAGGAGAAGGCGGCCATGGAGCAGGCCTGCGAGGGGTCGCTCACTCGCCCCAAAAAGGCGATCCCTCGAGGCTGCGGAGACGACGACGAAGAAGACGAGGAGAGCATCCTCGACACCGTCCTCAAGTTTCTGCCCGGACCTCTCCAGGACATGTTCAAGAAGTAAAAAACAACGACAACAACAACAAATGAAACGAGCCCTACATTCAGGGTGCAGTCTGGCCTGGGGAGGTGGGGATCTTTCTGTGGCTGAACTGAAGTGTTTCGGGGGTTCAGGCAGGGTTTCAGGGTAGATTTGGGGACATGTAGAAAATTGAAAGTGGATTATGGGGTGGGTGTTTCTTGAAAAACTGTTAGAGGCTACACACTGCCTTTCTAGAAATCGTTTATTCTTTTCTACTCCTCGACGATTGCGTTATTCTTCCCTCTTTTATTTGCCAAATTGCCGTACAAACTTTCAACTTAGCACATTTCTTACGACTTAGTACGTCTTTTGTCCTTTTCTTGTCGCTATTTTTACACCTGTTGAGATCAGACATTTTTGATTGGTTGGCCGTGATCTGTTGACAGGCGATGGGGACCCATGGAGAACAGTATTCCCTTTTAAAGAAGGACGGCGGACCCTTCTGTCCTCATGCTTCTGTGCTTTTTCACACGGCACTGCCACCATGTTTTCCAGTAGATGGAGCATGTTGTGTTTATTTCAGTGAGTCTTTTCTACTTTTATGAACCTTGTGATGGTCTTTATATTGAAAAAATCAGCATTTGAGTTTTTAGGACATGTGCCTTCATACCATCTCCTCTAGCAGAGGAATTGTAAATGAGGGTTTCATTTTGCGTCAAACAGGTGTACAGTTGTTGGTAGCATCTAGGCAGGAAAATGAATTTGATTGAAGTTGGCTGGTTGGTGTGTTTTGGGGTTTCCAGAAGCTATTGTTCAAACTACTTCTGGAAACCCCAGACCAGCTTATTAATGCCTTACAACCCACAAAGAGATTTAAAAACATAATTCACTGTTACCAATGGCTTTCCGAAGAACTGTTTGCTGAAGAATAGCTTAATATCCTTCCTAATTCAACCACTAGATTTACAAAAGTCAGCTAGTTAGACTGCCAACATGCTAGAAAAGCAACATTTAAGATCTCCAACGTGTCACAATGTCAATATGTGGATTTTCAATCTCAAGTATTTTGAAATACATTTCGTTAGCTCGAGGTATCGTCCATTCAAACAAACAAGACTCTTTGTACCTTGTTTGAATCCCATATTTTTAAGTCAATGCTGGTTTTTTTCAACAATGACATAGTCATGATCATTTTAGGTGGAGCGTTCCCATAGACAATCAAAGCATTGACCACTGCAGTCATTTCCTGTCATCCCATCTATGATTGGTTACAAGTGGGTTCTTCATTAAGCACTGGAGTGTCTCTTAATTTAAACTATGTTATTTGTTGTTTTTCTTCTTCACACATGAATGCAAATGCCAGGGAACGTCTGTTTTTATTTACTTTACTGTGAATGTGCTGCCAATGTATTTCAATGCAACCAAGCTTATGATTTAATTCACTTTCTTGATGAGCTCACCTTTCCCCACATCCTTCATTTGATTGAAGTTCATCTACATCGAGACCAAAGACATTTTGGTGAGATCATACTATTTATTTTTGCCAAATAAAAAGACGTGCATGCCGATTGGTTTTTATTGTTCGTGCAAAACCTGCAGGAGCATCCCAAAGACTGCCATTAAACTAAAAAAGTGTTTCATGGCTAAAACAAATAAGATAATTTCACTGGTGGAAAATCTGGTTTGAGAAGCAAAGTATTTTCTGCATCCCTTAATCTTTGAATCCAACAAATATCATGGTGATTTGTCATAGAGCATTGAAGTAGACGTGCTGTAAATGAAATCAATCTCTATTTAGTGAAACCACCTAAATATATAGACATTTATTGATAAGCATGTGGGTTATTCCTAAGACAATTTACGATAAAAATGCACCTTTCCATGAGTTTAAATAACTAATGAAGTTGTCATAAACTCTATAAAAACAATTTCCTTTTATTTTTCATTTTCTAGCTCAGATAGGACTTTTCACTAGACAAAGCCATATTATTTAGATCGCAATAATGACTTAAAATGCTTCAAAAAGAGAATATTTCGACAGTCTCATGTTTTCTGTCAAAAGATTGAAAAAAAACCTCATTGCATATCTGTTTGTAAAATCCTCACCATTCTTGTACCTTTAAACATGTGTACTAATGTATACACAAAGAAAATCTATGTAAAAAAAGAAGCCTTTGTTATAACTGTCTCAGTGTACTACATGTGTACGGTAAGTGTGTGTGTGTGTGTGTGTGTTTATATGTGTGCGTCTTTCTACGTGTCTGTGATGTGCGACCATGTTGTTAATTCATATAGTCCTGGTTTATGTAAATGTGTCTTTGAACTATTTTGTGCACAGGCAGAAGCTATGGGTGCCTCCCTGGTCGTGCCACGTCTTAAAAGAGTTATACTTAACACATTCCTTTCAAATGTTGAGCATGCAAAATGTTAGTAGAGAAGAGAATACACCAAAAATCTAAAGGTTAGAAAAAAAACAACACCATTTCCTGTTTCTGTTCGAGTCTCCAGGCAACAGAATCCGTGCATTGGATCCAGAACGATTGGCGGTCGATGGGGTTGTTTAGTATTCGATGTTCTTTGTTGTCTGAGGTTAGCTTAGCGTCGTGATCGCACAGGAGCTTTGTGAATCAGATAAAATACAAAAAAACATCTGAAGAGTCGCCTGCAAAAGCTCTAGATCTATCTAGTTTATTGTAGCTAGCATTGGGACGAAGTAATCAAAGATGTCAGTTTGCAGACTTAAACTGTATTCACATGATATAAGGTTTGCTCTAATCGCGAAATTGGGCGCAGAGCTTTGCAGTGAAAACAGCCAGTTCGTTTTGTTTTTATGGTTATTTTCAACATGCTAACTTACGTCGCTACATACAGCTGTCATGTGATTGGTTTGCACGTCAAAAGGTCAGCGGTAAACAAGGTCAGAGTCTAAATTATTTGTACTTTGAGTGCAGCGCTTGACGACAATTTTGAGCGGTGAATGACATCAAGAGTTTCACCTTGGATTTCATCAGGCGTGTTTCCCTCCATAGAACGCCAACGTTAGCTTAGAGCCATGTTACTGAATATCAAGTGAATGCAGCACTTTGTCAAATCTTTGCAAAAAGCTTGTTGTTAGGGTCTCAAATTTAAACTGACATTGACGTATAAAAGTCTTATGTCAACTACTACTTGGTCATTTTATAAATTACGAATTTGCACCATTGTTCTATGGTGGACACCTTAAGGTGGGGTTTGGTAAACAAGACAATTCACTGAGGAAATAGGATTGGATTTGTTGGGTGCAAAACATTAAGGAGATTTCCTGCCAAATGAGTTTGGTTTGCTGATATCCTGTGTGATCACGGCCTTAAGACATCAGTGCTGGAGGCTTTTAAAAACAAAATGGGGGAAGTGCAATTTAAAGAAAATATATAGATACTGTAACTAAAACAACCTAGGCCTAAAGAAAATAGATTTCTATGTAAAATACATAATTCTTATTTTAATGCTTTGCTCATTCTCATAAACCAACCGGAGTAATGCATGAGCTATGAGTTGATTGAGGAGAATCATCTAGATTCATTTAATTTATTATAACATGAAGACAGGGATATTCCCTCCAACAGCTCGTGAATTAAGTTTATCCAAGCCTTGTATCTCCTGGGTGGAAAGAAGAGACATAGATCCTGGACTAGTCTTAATTCATGGCACCTTCATGGAAAGTACAGCCATACATCCTGTGTTTGTTCAGTAGTCTCTCCGCGGGACTCGTCTCGAGGCGTCACAGCTTGTGAACTGCCTTTGAAAAGGGCTATTATCATGTTACCTGTTTGTTAGTTTAACTCATCTGTCACTCGTCCTGGTGTGAAGTGTCGACATTCTAATCCATCCTAGTTGCATGAGATACTTCCGTGTATAAAAGTGTTTGTTGAGCGACTTAAAGATCGATCCTTGGATTAATACAGTGGTGCAATAATGATGAATTATAGGCCAAACTAGAGTTAGCATCACAAGGTTTCCTTCCATTGGTTTTTGGAATATTGCAGAAAATAAGATCTGTGGCGAAGACATGTTTATGATACTAACACGTTTTATTCAGCACAATAATCTCCACATATTAACACCACTTTATAATAATTGAAGAGTAAATGCCATTGCTAAAAGTAAAAAGCTAACGTTAGGCTATAAAGGAACTACAGCACGGTCACATGACTTCACGTCACCACCGCTGAGCTAAAGTGGCTAATGTTGGGCTATAAAGGAACTACAGCACGGTCATGACTTCACGTCACCACCGCTAAGCTAAAGGTGGCTAATGTTGGGCTATAAAGGAACTACAGCAAGGTCACATGACTTCACGTCACCACCGCTAAGCTAAAGGTGGCTAATGTTGGGCTATAAAGGAACTACAGCACGGTCACATGACTTCACGTCACCACCGCTGAGCTAAAGGTGGCTAATGTTGGGCTATAAAGGAACTACAGCAAGGTCACATGACTTCACGTCACCACCGCTAAGCTAAAGGCGGCTAACGTTGGGCTATAAAGGAACTACAGCACGGTCACATGATTTCACGTCACCACCGCTAAGCTAAAGGTGGCTAATGTTGGGCGTGATGACATTTAGTCGTCTCATTTAGACACTTGTTACCAACCGCCGTTTTTAAATCCACCAGTGGGGTATTTACTGAAGTATTTTATGTCGTAGAACAATACGTTAAAATCTCTAAAACTTGTGTGAACCACAGACCTTATTTTGGAGGCTAACCAAAAACACATTTAGAAAACTGACTATGAGACGAATGCTAATGCTAACTCATTCCCGGGTTCAAGGACTCAATACGGCACCACTCTATATAGGAAAGGGAGAGAAAGGAGTAGTTAGCGGTTGTAAACTATAGGCTAATGATGATTTTACATGGATGATATTTACTGTATATTTTCTTAACTAAAGTAGATGTGGGTGAATGAGTGTGTATATTTAGGCACGAAAGGCCTCAGAAACATTAAACTGCTACATCAAATCCTCGCCGGTGTTTCTTTAAAACGACTCCAATCAAAAGCTACTATTGATGGGGTTTTTGGGGAGACTCAAGCAAAAGAGAAACTGGATTATCAAAGCATCTTCTGTTGTCAGGAGCCCAGAAACACTGAGAGAAGTGAGAAACTGCCATTCAAAACCACAGTTCATCGCTAAAAAAGCAAAGATTCTCCATTCGTTTTGGTGATATTTCTCATAGAAACACAAAATCATTAACTCTGGCAGTGTGCAAAAGACACGCCACATGTTTACTTCTTAAATATATAACTATCAAATGCACAGAGCGGTTGAGAGGAGAAGTAACATTTTGAATAAAAACCTTTAAACTTTATCGTTCCTCCAAAACAAGGCTGGACTGTTTAACACTGAACACTGTAATGATGTCATAACATTTGTCTTTTCTGTAACATTTGTACATCATTGTGACAGCCATGCTGAATCCTGCCTTTTCAATCCAGTTTAACGCGTGTTGCTCGGCGAAGCTCGTCTTTTCACCACGTTTACGTTTCCCTCCAGTGAAAGACGAGACTTTGGGCGAGCACAACTGTTACCGTGAAAGAAAAAAATCTCTTTAAATACATTCCAGTCTTTGTGGCATTTGCACTTGAATTAATGTTACACTTCCGATGGTTATGGCATCTGAGAGTCACCACTTTCAACTACCTGTAATTATTTTTTACTAACCGCCAGCCCTCTAAAAACGGTAAAGTTAAAAGGTATGTGGGGTGAAAAGCGTACTAATGTAGTGAGCAGGGTTGAATACCTGGCCGTAATCCCTTTAGTTCGCCCAAATGTGCCAATCAGCGTAAAGGGCGTTGTTCACAGTTTGCAGATGATGCTAACATTTCTGTTACTAAACTAAATCTATTTACTGTCCGGAGATGCAGCTTCAATCTGCAATTGACATGTGCTGTGTCTCAATTTGCATACTTTTGTACTTATTAAAGTGTATACCACTGCAAAGTATGGCAACAGACACTATAAGTACGTGGATGAGGCACTAATACTGTCCCAAATATCAAGTGTGCAACGCTTCTAACACTTAGCGTCGTAACATTTTAGCTATTTAGCGTTTGCTGTGGTTAAGGTTGTTCCAATAAACACAGCGCTTTCCAAATCAAATGTATTTGTGTGGCTTTTTCCTGTTATTTATTAAACATACTATACTAGTGTCAAAAAGAAGCCACTGTTAATTATATTGGGTTAATCAAGTGAACTGTAATGATTTGCTTCCAAGACCGTTAGCGTAGCTACCTAGCTAGGTAGCTAACAGTACTCTCCTGGTCAAAATACACTTACTTTACAAAGTGTTCACAGTGAAAGACTGTAAGAGTTGAGACACAGCAATGGACTGCAGTAAATATTGGAAAGCATTAAAAAAGGGTTTTCAACAAAGGGAGTGGATTGATGCTAACGTTTCTGTCGCTGCACTAGCTCTCTTTACTGTCTGGAGATGAAGCTTCAATCTGCGACATGTGCTGTGTCTCAATTTGCATACTTTTGTACTTACTTGTGCTATTAAAATGTATACCACTGCAAAGTATGGTGA